TATATTTATTGCTTTCAGAGAGGAAAGGTGAGGGAGAGAGAGAAACATCAATGATGAGAGAGAATCACGGATTGGCTGCCTCCTGCACACCCCCTGCTGGTGATGGAGCCCAAAACCCTGGCATGTGCCCTGACCTGGAATCGAACCCTGACCTCCTGGTTCATAGGTCGATGCTCCACCACTGAGCCACTCCAGCCGGGCCAGTCTCTGCATTTAGCTACCACCCCCCAATCCTGCCACCCGCACCCCCAGCCCTAGGCAGCCCCTACCCTGCCCTGTCTCCTGACTCCTCTGGCCAGGACATCCCGTCCTACAGGGGCCTTTGGAAGGGGCCCCTTTCACTCGGGGAAGGTTTCCAAAGGTGAGGAGGCATCTTGTAGGTGTAACGGAGCTTCAGTCCTATTTACGGCCAAATAACGCCCCACAGACCCCTGACCTGAAGGGGCTGAGTGACAGGAGGCGATGGCTGCTCCGAAGGGCTGGCCCTGGTGACGCCGCCAGCAGCTGGGGGACAGGCGCGGGCGCAGTCCCTCACAGACCGCAGAGGGAAGCAGGCCTGTGCACGAAATTAATAGGACGTGGTCTGAGACAGAGGGACGGACGGACGGACGGACGGAGGTGGAATGTGGCTCCTTAGCACATTCCGCTGGGGCGGGAGCTGGTTTCGGGGGCCCTTTAAGAGGGGAAGAGAGAAGGTGCTCACTTTATTACCCCCACGTAGTCCGTCCTGAGCCCCCCACTCTTGAAGGCGGACAGGGTCATGGGACCTGGGTAGCAGGTGGTTGGGACCATGGGGCGGGGGATGTGGGGGGCAGGGTCTGAATGAAGGCATCCCAGGCCCACAGGGCATCTGAGATTGAGAAGAGCAGGGTGCCCGCCCGGACCACCTGCCCCTCTCCAGGCTGTGCCGCGCAGTCATGCCTCCTCAGGCCCACGGCTTTGCTCTGTGGTGAGTGGGGGCTCTGGCCTGAAGGTGGAGCAGGGACTAAAAATCAGGGGTGGGCTCTGGGGGACCCTTTAAATACATTATGGGTGCAAGTCTCTTCTCTGCTATAAGAGTCCCCTAAGGCACATCCTGGGTGGGAAAGTCTCCTCTCTGCTGTAAGAGTCCCCTAAAGCATGTCCTGGGTGGAAAAGTCTCCTCTCTGCTCTAAGAGTCATGGGTGGAAAAGTCTCCTCTCTGCTGTAAGAGTCATGGGTGGAAAAGTCTCCTCTCTGCTGTAAGAGTCCCCTAAAGCATGTCCTGGGTGGGAAAGTCTCCTCTCTGCTATAAGAGTCCCTTAAAGCATGTCATGGGTAGAAACTTCTCTCTGCTGTAAGAGTCCCTTACGACACATCCTAGCTGTAGAAGTCAGGCAGGGTTTGGAGAGCAGCTCTGACCCCTTCATGCCCTCAAATGCAGACCCCGAGGCCCAGAGAGGGGCCGTGGGCTGCCAAGGTCACAGGCAGGACAAGGGCCACACCTGGGTCTTCCTCCCTTATGTCCCCACCCCCTTGCTTCTGACGCCTTCCTAAAGACCCCTCATCTTTGAGTCTCCTCACCTCCCCACCTCCTCTCCTGGTATTGTCTGTCACTGCAGTGGGGTGAATTGTGCCCCCTAAAAACAGGTGTCCAAGTCCCGGCCGGTGTGCTCAGTGGATAGAGCTTCGGCCTGGGGACCGAAGGGTCCCAGGTTTGATTCAGGTCAAGGGCACATGCCCAGGTTGCAGGGTAGATCCCCAGGAGGGGGCGTGCAAGAGGCAGCCAATCAATGGTTCTCTGTTATCATTGATGCTTCTATCTCCCTTCCTCTCTGAAATCAATAACAATAAATTAAAGAACAAAAAAACAACAACAGGTATCCGAGTCCTAAGTCCCGGTCCCTATGGATGTGACATCATTTAGAACCCGGGCTTTTGCAGACATAATTACGAGATCATCCTGGATTTAGGGTGCACCCTACATGCAACCACCGATGTCCGTGGGAGGGGACACAGAGGGAGAAAGCATGTGAACACGGACGCCCAGGTCAGAGGGCCTCAGGG